AAAAACCCGTGTAGCACGTCACGACGCTTACGTCGGTTTGAACGAACAAAACTGTACGTTGTTTCGAAACTGTGCGTTACGTTTTTACCTACCTTGCCACGTCCCCGGGAACTTACGCACGTTAAGCTTGGTCCTTCTCGTTTTTCGTCCTGCGTTCCAGTAAACACTTAAAGACTTTAGTCGGTGCGACCGACGTCGTCGCGTACGTGTTAGGAAACGTTTCTCGCTCATCCCACAGCAAACGGTACGGTTCTTCTCTGCGTACTCCGCCTTTCCCACTGCGCGTTCCGCCACGGTTTGGCAGAGGCAAAGTCTCGCGTTTACCCTGTACGCCAAGCATTGTACGACGTCGTTGCTCACCGTGAAACACATCTTCCGTAGCGAATTCTTCCCGTACCCGTACGTCTGAAAGTAGATCTCGCCGCTCGCGGAAGACGTTAAGAATGTTCGGTCGCACGCGTTTTTTCTAAACGTCAAAACGTTACGACTTAGTACGAACGAGGTCTTTGGACATCTCGCGTGTGATGTTCTAACGTTACGTTCTGTATAGATTTGAAAACACGTTTAACGCTCTATCGTCGTAAGAGAACGTACGCGTTAGTCAGAACTGTCCAAACGTTAAGTAAACGAACGTAAAGTTTCGTACGTATCGTTTGAAGCTACACGTCTACGACGTACGTCGTATATCGGCGCAAAAACGTAAACAAAGTTTCTCAAAATCCTTTTAAAAACATGATACATTTTTTCACGCAACAAACCTGTTTTAACGTAAACATGAGAGTGCTGGAGCGACGCCGGGGCCACGACTTAGCGTGACGTTTCAGTCTTGATCTCATCTTTTTTACCAGACTCGCGGCGCTTGACGTGAAACGACACTCGAACAACACCACGATGTTCGTTCGCCGGAGACAGCCGAACGCCTGCGACAAAAATATTAACGACGCAAGCGAACGGTCGCGCAACGTAACGTAACAAAAAACGTTAAGCATCTATCAAAACGGAACGTACGCGTGCGCGAGACGTTTTAACACAAGATTCAGATACGAAACGAACAACAACGAACAGACGTACGCGTACGATGAACTACGTACGTATGTACAACGGTACGCTGCACGTACTAAATATTAGTTACAAGCTGTCTACCGTTTGTCTCGAGAGGAGACCGGGACTAAGCCGACAACGGGGCTACGTTGACACTAGGCTTTTTGCCACGTTAACGCTCGCGTAGAAACTTACCTTTCCTACTGTAACAGCGTCTTTCGGTGCCACGCGTCGCAACGGACGTTGGTAACCGTCTGAGACCGAGTGTACGTTTTAACGCGCGCGAAGCGTTTTCGATAATAAAAAGTATGTTTTCTGATCTCTCGAACGGTTTAGTCTTTCCGCGAGCTTTACTCTTGCGACGCTACCAGTAAGTACGTTTGCGGGGAACGTCACGGCTTTCGACGACGCCGCGACGAGTTTTTGCATCGTTTCAAACGTTATATATTTTTGGACGAACAAATGTAAAAAACGACGTTCGAGACTAAGTCGACAAGGGTGTGACGTCCTGGGTGATGCGAGGTGGCTTCGATCCGGCAGAACGTCTCCGTTGATGGGTTCTTTTTCTTGCAGTTAAGGAGGTAAAACCCCAGGATAATTAGCTGTGGGTCGGCGATGTAGATTTTGGCTCCTTGGATCCGTCGAAGGTAGGTAATTCAATAATCTCCAATAATCTTTATCTTTCTTTTGATATAAAAAGTATGATATTTATTGTAGAACTTTTACGATACAAGTGGTTTATGTGGGAGGATGGAACAAGTATAAGATATGTGACCTTTCCTGGCTCGTTCCACACTCTCCGTCGAGAGGGTGAAAGATTCTGCTTTTATACAATTTTGGAAACAGTGGTGGGAGGTGACCGCACCTCGTTACAATGAGTCATAAGGCGTTGTCTAGCGGATGTGAGTCTACTTCTAGGGGTGTGGCTCGCTTGCCAGCAATGAGTCATAGGGTTGTGTCTTGAAATTCATTACCTTATATGGTCATGTCTATGCGAAGACTAGATTCACTCGAATGAGTCATACAGGTGACTCGTCTGAATTCTATTTTTATTCTCTAGTCTAACGGCGATTTGTATTGAGAGCGATACTTCTTTTCATTATTAAATTTTAATATGACTTTTATCATGAAGAAAATATTTAATATTTGAATAGTAAAAAGTGCAAATATATGCTGAGCATTATTTAGATTTCTTTAGACATACTTTACATACAGTAGATTAATTTAATAATACAATTTAAGTCATTATTAGCATGTCTAAAGTATAAGAAATATTGCTCTCTTCGTCTAATAGTTAATATGGTATATCTGACTCTCTCTTTCTTTCTTTCAGATCATACAATACTCGCATCTCGCTCGGATTCGTGTTCCTTATGCTGCGCATAATACAATTTTATCTTTCTCGAATTCGTGAGTAACGCTTCGGCGCTTGACATTCAATATTTATATTAATTTTGGTAAATATATATATTTGTTAATAATATTAATAAAAGTGATGTTAGCGGTGTTAATAATGATTCTAATATCAGGTTAATAATATATCGTACAGAGTACAGATAGAAATGGTCAGCATTCTCATTAGTACAGGAAATTAATGAAATTAATTTGTATATATATATATATATATTAAGATTTTTATCATTTTTATATCTCGCAAATGGTTGGGAATTTGATGGGAGTGTATAGGAAATATATTGTAGGACTTTCACTAAAGTATAATATAGCATTGGAAAATTTTATTGTTAATATATGTATTTGTTAATAACAAATTATTAATTAAACAAATTGGTACTCTTTAATTTGGGTATTGATATTATTATATTCTCTTTGTTTAAGAGATTTTGAATTTCTAATATTATCTCGTTTATGAACATTCGTTATTTTATTGTTATAAATATTTCGTAAATAAACAATTGCAGAAATAAAAGTTATTATCATTTTTTGTAGGTGTACTGATGCAGAGTTTATATATAGGGTTGAAATTTGTATTTACCAGAACGAGTTTTTGTTACTAAAGTGCTGTCGCACAAACAGAGGTATGTATTTTTACGATTAATTAGGTATAGGAAGTTAATAAAAATATTGTATTATGGATGATTTTTAAGAGAAGGGTTCAGACTATATATATATATATATAAGATATTTTTTGCCATTATGTTTTGGGAAAATATTAAAGTTTAAATTCAATGTCCCGAGTCAATACGTTTAACATATTAATATACGTATGTCAGACGTATTATTTAAGGTCATTTGCTTTATACCGGGTGTCTTTTCACTTGGAATTTTATAGCGCTTTTATTAGAAAAGTGACAAGGTTTTGACTTATATAAAAATTGTTATACGTGATCTGAGGTATAAGTTAAAAATATTTATTGACATGGTCAATAATTTGTTTATGATTGTTTATAAAAGTAAGTTGCGAAAATAAATGATTACGTAGTAAATGTTTTTCTATCAAACGATTCTAATGATTATTCTGTATACACGTATATAATGTTTTCATCTCAAACTATTCATTTTCTAATTTTATTTTAATTTATTAAGAATTTATTACGGCTATCCTTGTCTTACACCTTGTGAACTGGTATTAAACTATCCTCGTCTTTCATGGAGTGAATGTTCAATTTTCAATCTCGTTTATTAATTTAATTAATTTAGGTAAAAAATCGGCGTTAACGTTACTGGTGTTTAGGGGTATGAGAGATTCCATTTTTATCATAATAATTAAGTGTCAAAATTTTTGTTTAGAAATGAAATTTTTCAGCTTTAAAATGTATAGAAGACTAAAATATTAATGTAAAAGTAATTTGGTCTTCGTAAGTCTAAAGGGTAGGAAATTCAAAATGGCGGATATGAAACTTTAATAATTTATAACTCGAGAACGGTAAGAGATAAAAAGATGGGGTTTCTTTTGTTGTGTTCAGATAAGTAAAGGCATTATTTTAGGTTGTTTAAAATTTCTGTGTTTTATGGATTTCCATAATTTTTAATTATATCTCGGAATTAAGAAGAGATATGATGTGGGAGTTTTTGTGAGGTTACTTGATATGCTCTGCTGGGTATCTGTAGTGATTTTATTTATCATCTTTAATAATATTTTTATGATAAATTTTATTGTTAATTAGTTTATTTTGAGAGATACAATAATGGTTTATAATCAAAAGTTATTTGACTTTTTGTGATAGTTCTAGTAATCACATTAACTAGGTCTGTTAATAATATAATTTAATTGTTTATAACAATTATGTTTGAAAAAATGCTAATGAAATAATTACTATTTTAGCATGATAATGTTTCTCAGGCATAAAAGGTTATGTTCCTATGAATAATCTACTTTTAATTAATTTATTTATATTTTATTTTAATTTCCTGAATTTATTCTTATGGATTATGCATTTATTCATATGTTAAATTGAATTTGCATTGCATAAAAGATCTCATAAGGTTTGTAATATTCATTTACGATCAGTTTTAGTGACTCTGGGGAATTTTAACAAGCAATTGTCCAAAAGTTTATAGTGTGATTCATGAAAATGGGGCTTAAGCTTGAAAGGGTACCTTAAGGCAGCCATGTTCTCTAGGCTTATGTCTACTGCTTTAAGAACGCGTATTCGGATCAGCTGAGTGTTTGTTGTGACAGTTAATTTAAAGAATGATTGTTATATTATAATGTTGTTTGCAGATGCTGGGGACTTTTAGCAATGAAGGTAGAAAATCAAAAAAATTTATGCGGGTGGAATATAGCGGTGATTATACCGTCAGACGTGACATCTCCCTCCTTAGGGAAGTTCGGTCCCCGAACTTTTATTAGTAAGTATAATTGTACGGTTATGTCGTATAGAGTATAATTATATTTAGAGATAATTAATTATTTATGTGATTTTTATTACAGGATTCTAAAGTGTGCCTGGCAGTGTAAGAGCTGTGTTGCTGTAGTTGGATTTATCTAAATCGAGGTAATAGTTCCATTGACAAAACATTTGTTTAGCAATGTGCTTAAGTAGTTCTATAGATTTGATTAGTAATATATTTTTTTTCTTCTCTTCTTTCTCTTTTCTTTTTTTTTTTTTTTTTTTTATTGGGTATATACACATGTATATTTGTACTTGCGTACATATATAGACGCGCATATTTGTTTTCAGTGTTCATTCCTTATGTTACTTATTAGGATATTTATTAATATAGGTTATTCTTATTTTATTATAGAGCTGGTTATCTATACTGTCACCGTGATTTCGTTGGACGGATATGATAAGGATAAATTAAAAGTAAGTTAATGCTATATTTCTATCGTTACTACATTTATTCATATGAGTTTTAGTCTCTCCCTTTTTTTTTTCTTTATTTTTATTATTTTTGGTTAAATATGTTCAAGTATTTGCCGCGTATTCTTTCCTTAGCTTCGTCTAAATCCAGGCGATAAGCAAGATTATGTAGTCTTTTTACTTCTAGCATAAGGCTTGTCGTTGACATTTTGCTTAGCTCTGTAAGGATAATTATTTATTGATTATATATAACGGTTTTATCGTATAAGAGTGCAGTAATTAATATATTTCGTTATTGTTATAGGTGAGAAGAGGTAATAGTGAGCTGAGACTGAATTAATAAGGATAAAGGATAAGTATTTCAATCTTATTTTATAATCTTATGAATATATATATATATGAATAAGAATATTAATGTATTTTCTTTCATTTTATTTCAGGTAAGGA